CGCGCCGCCGCCTCCTCCCTCCTCCCCGCTCCCGCCCGCGCCCAGCCCGCCGCTCCAGCCCTAGCCCCGCTGCAGCGGCAGTAGCAGCAGCCGAAGCAGGCGCGCCTGGGCGGAGCGCTCACCACCCGCAGCGCTCTCTGGTTCCCTCCCTCCTTCGCAGGGGTGGGGCTCCATCGTTCCCGCCCCTTGGTTGCGGGAAGCCCAGGCAGTGCCTCGCCTTTCCTTGCCGCCCCCTACCCAAGCTAACCTGGGGGACTCTCATCGCCAGAGCTGAGGCCTCTACTGCTGCTTCTGCTGGGTCGTGAATGATGCGGCAGTGGCGCAGGAGCTCCCCAAACCCCGTGGGCGTTGGGGTTTCCCCTTGGGCGAGAGGAGAAAATAAAAGGGGGTGGGCAGAAACTGGTTGCAGCTTTATGTTCACCTCCACCTCCTCTGCTTGCCTTTGGAGGTAAAAATCCAAGTTGCTGGGTTAGGCAAGGGCACAACTCACCCACTGGCTCAGTGGTGGCAATGTTCATATTCAGGGCTCGTGGGGGTTACTGCTTCCAGTAGTCTTTGGGTAGCCTTTTATACGTGCAGGTGGGCAGAGAGCTGAGAAATGCAACACCAGAATCACTATCCTAATTTCTGCTTGGCTCCTGACTCTTGCTGAAGGGGAGCCAGCCATGCCCTCTGATGCCATTAGGATCCTTCAGGGGACTCATTGAACCCACTGCAGTGACTTTGTCCTGCGACAGGGTACTGCTGTACTGCTCTCCACCCAAGGTCTGAGGCCCTTGTGCTCATAAAACTTGAGTGACAGACGGAAGGCCAGAAGGAAAAGCAAGGGTGAGCTAAATTATTTCTAGTGTAGAAACCGAATCAGAGGAGCCATTGAGACTGTGATTTGGGGGAGCGGGAAGTGACCCTGGAAGACCCCACTGAGGAGGTGACATTTTAAGGAGAGATACAAGTGGCAAGATGAGAGCAAGTATGACAATGTCCAGAAGAGCCTTCGAAACAGCAAGTGTGGAGGAGAAACATTCCTCTGCTGATGGCTGAGGAAGTAGTCCTGTCAGTCATTGGCACCACTGGCAGAGGGCGAGTATCCCATCACTCACCACAAGCAGGTTAGGGAAGCCTGCCTGCTGCCCTAGGGTAGCATGACTCCTGACTGCCAAGTCTCATGACTGTCAGGGATGTCGAAAGGACTGTGAGAGCTGGGAATCCAGTCTCAGTCTACAAGAAAAAAAAAAAAAAAAAAAGCAAGTGCCTGCTTGGGAGAAGTTGGAAGATGAGGACCAAAGAGAAGCTGAAGGGTCAGAGCACATGTAGAGTGGGAAAGAGGTGATGTAGAAGTGATGTCAGAGGAGGAGAGGAAGGGAGGAGCCTCCAGAAGGTTATCCAGAAGAATAAAAGTGTTAACTATGTTGTTAACGCAGCAATAAACTGCTTGTTGCATCAGAATACTTTCCCCAGAAGCTGACTCGTACGAGAATGAGAATGAATCAGAAAATTGGAAAACTCATGGCCGTACTCAGTAGAGAACAGTAGAGAAAAAGATATGTATCGGTTAGATTGGGGATGTGTGCATGAAACAGGCTATGTGACCTGAACCGTGCTCTGAGCAGGGTAGCTCTGGCCTCATTATAAGTAGAATTAATGATGCACAATTAGTTGGAGCATAGTAACAAGTCAGCACAAATTCTGAAGAGAGAAAGCAAAAGGAAAAGGGATTGGCTGGCTTAGAAACAACACGCCCTTGCCCCCAAGACACACATAGACAGCAGCATGCTCCAGCTTACACCCACCCCTCACCAGACACATGTGGCTATGCTGTAGACAGGAGCTGAGTGTATCTCCCAGGGCTCTATATGTTGAGATTTTTATCCTCATTGTGAAGGATTCAGAGAGGGGAAAATGAAGTTAGTCGGCCTCTGGTGTTTGGGATCCAATCAGGATTAGAAAAGACAACAGAGTGGGGTCACCATAACTGAATCCTGGCTTTATAAGAAGGGAGAAAGCAGAACACACACACAATGCATATCTTCCCTTTCTCTTGTCATAAACCGCCCTGTGGCAATTCGGGTCTCACTGCTTAAGAAGGCTATGTCACGATCCAGGTCCTTGGCTAGGAGCACAACCATAGCCCCCACAAGCCTCTTCTTTGTAAGTCACATAGCCTTCAATAGTTCATAATAGTATCCTTTCTGACCCAATGCAATGCCAAACACCTACAAAACACCCTTCCCTTATTTAGAAGTACCTTTTGGAAAATTGCCCTCTCTTCTCAATTTCTTCCTATTTCATTTATGTATCCACTTGCATTTGCCACGACCTAAAGCTATCATGTCTGTGTTTTGTTTACTTATTTCATGGTTTGAATTTTAAGTGTCTCCCACAGATTCATGCATTGAGTGTGCATGGCCCCCATTTGGTGGCTGTATCTTAGGACATGTGTAGTAGGCAGCCATCCCAGCTTTGATCTGGAAGTTCCAACCCCCATTGAGGCTTCCAGTAACTGTCACACATACAAGGCGGGGCCGAGAGAGGATCCTGAAGACCAGAGATCCGGATGCGGCTCTCTTGGTTCCTGGACCCTGGATGCTGGAGGTAGACAGAACAGAGTTCTCCAGAGAACACCGCCTGTCTGCACTACAGCTTTCCCAGATCCTGTAACCTATCCCTTCACTTGTAAGTTACCCCACGAAATAAACCTCCCTTTTAACTACATGGAGTGGCCTTAATATTTTCACCAATAGACATGTGGAAATTTTAGGAGGAAGTGAGACTTACCTGGAGGAAGTAAATCACTAGGGATTGAGTTCTTGAAGCATTCTGACCATCACTCCCTCCCATACCTCTCTGTGCTTCCTGTCCACCATGAGGTCAGAACTCTACCACCACATGCTCCTGTTACCATGGTGTTCTGTCAAGGTACATGGAGCTAAGAAACTATAAACCAAACCCTCCAAAGCAAAGAGTTGAATGACATCTTTCCCCCATCAAGTTGTTCATCAGATCTTTTGTCACAGTGATGAAAAAAGTAGGTAATATGCTCACTAAACAAGATCAAGACCTAAGTGTCCTCTCCCAAATCCTACAAGCATATATGTCTCATGATAGCCTCTTCATTCTTAAATAAAGCATTAGTAAGTAGTCTATAAAGAGACAGTGTCAATCTGCCAGCACACATTCAACTTAGGTTTTTATATGAAAAATTTAGGGGTTTTGATTAATTGGGAAAATCTTAGTGCTTAATAAGTGTTAGTTATTTCAAATTAAAGACCAGTATATTCATGATGATGGCATTCAAAAAGCCTCGCCAGATAAACACCCAAGATGAAACTCAGGCCCTGCAAGAAAATGATGTAATGACTAGTCTTGATTGTCTGTTTGATTCACTTGGGAAGAGGGAACCTCAACTGAGGAATTACAGTCATTAAATTGGCCTGTGGGCCTATTTATGGGTCCATTTTGGTTGTTGCCTTCCTTGGGCGGTTGGTCTTTTGTTTTTAAGGAAAGTTGGTTGAGGGTAATTTTGGAGGAAGGCCAGTTGATTAGGAGGATTTTTTCCCTTGTTTTCCCCTTCAGGTTCTTGTTTTGTTTTCCTTCATTGTTGGCTTTTACCTTTTAGGTTGAATTAACCCTTTTTTTCCCCAAGGTGGTTTTTGTCAGTGTTTTAGCACAGCAGTAGAAACAAAACCAGGACAGAGACATAATATTTTATTAGTCAGCATGTAATAAAAAGTGTAATCATCAAATAATGGCACCTTGGACCTTCAGGTACGTGAGGAGTTTTGGTGGAGACACAAAGGCCATTTCCATGCCTCTCAAAGGACAAAGCAAACTAAATATCAAAGCCATGACTCTGATCCAATTAAACCCAAGGGTAAAGGAACTGCCAGGTAATTGAGTCTGGAAAATTGACTTATTTCAATGGTTTTATAATCCAATGTAGAGAGCTGTTCAGATTTCTAATAGAGGGTTTTGAAATGTCATAAAAGGCATGATGCACAGTAAGTCCCATTTGAGGGGCTGTTATAATCACAACACAGGAATCACATGTCCCATATCCCTAAAGTCCCTAGGATCATGAGATGACAAAGGGACATAAAGGCAAGAGAGTGACAGTGTATCAAAAAAAGAACAGCATGAGTTATAGACCAAAACAACAGGACATTCTAGCATCTCCTACTTTTGAGTACCAGTCCATCCTATAACATTAAAATCCCAGCCACTTGCTAATCCTCAAATCTGCCACCTCTTTCTTCTCTAAATACTTTTAATTTTTTACAATAGGCCAATTTCTTGCTATAACAAAATATCAAAAACTGGGAATTTTATAAAGAAAAGATTTCTTTAAGCTCATTGTTGGCTAAAAGTCCAAGATGACATTTTGGAAGATAGACTGGATTCATTTGGGTGGATCCATAAGGTAGATCCACTGATTTAGCCTCTAGTATAGGAATCTGGACTCTATATTAGATATTTTTCTGCTGCTGCCATAAAACACTATGACCAGAAGCAACTTGTAGGAGGAGTTTATTTGGGTTTACAGTTCCATGGAGATAAGAGTCCATCGTGATAGGTCTACATAGCAACAATGTAGCAGCCATGGCAGCAGGATCAGATCTCTGACTACTTAGATCTTCAAATGCAAACAGGAAGCACAGGGCACAAACAGCAAGTAGCTGAGGCTTGAAATTCCAAACCTATCCTCAATAACATACATCCTCGAATAAGTCTCCACCTCCCAAAGGTTCCACACTCTTCCCAAACAGTGACGACTGCTGG